CTAACTAGAACCTAAGCCTGCTGATTTAAAAACTCATTATCTCTCCATCAGGAAGAGCTACCTGAAGATTAACTAGGCAGTGACATGAACAGAGTAATTTTTATTTTTGCTTACTTCCAAAAATTTCATAGCCTAATACCAAAACTCACCTCTCAAAATTTTAAATGAACCAAAAGTACCGTTTTATACCAGCTTCTATAATACTGATTAGCGTCTCAGATGCTCAATGTTTGTGCAAAGAACAATCATACTATATTTTTGTTTTTATTCTCAAATAATTTATCGTGCACTTTTGAAATTCAACACTTATTTTAAAAACAGAAAGCAGAAACATGAATCCTTTGTTATCAAATATCTAAGTCTCAAATTTAGGAGAAAAAGGAAAATTAAGAAATATGGCCTTTATTAAATACTGAAAGATTAAACTAGCATAAAATAAGAGAAAGCAGTCATTCTGTTAATTGAAAATCATTACAATGTATTATCTATGCCAGAAGAACTCCGAAAATTCTTATATATGTGCAATTAACACTAAATACAACAAAGAAAAACAAATGTATTATTATGAAAATGAATGCATATTCAAATAATGGAGAAAGAAAAACAAAACCAGAGAAGACACTCCAGCATGTTTCATCAAGGCTACCTGACATTACATGTCAAACAGCAATGTTGTTACCGCTATTTCTAAATGAAGTTTTAAAAAATTAGAGCCAAATCTTATCTAAAACTGTATAGTGAGTAACACTTACTCTAAGATATCGTCTTCTAAGATTGCATTCTTACACATGATTTAAAAACTGTAAGCATGGCCAGCGATGATGAGTTACTTCCTCCATATGCAGATCGTATAGAAATGGATTAAGATCTATCAACTCTGATTATTCTTAACTACAAATAAAATTATCAACAACCCCACATGACTGATTCCAGGAATCTTAACCACCAGGCAACTAGAGTTTCTCTATTAAAACCTATTTATTTTGCCTCAAATAATATAATATGAATTTACACTAAACACCCATCTGTATGTCTGCATATATGACCAATTAAGATAACACTGCAATAGCTTGGGACACTTTTCAAAAATAAAAGAGGAGATAGCAAAAAATCTTAGATCACAGCTATACATCTGGATCAGTAAATAATAAAAGATAATAATTTTATCAAATATATGTTTTTAAAAATCAATTATGCTTGTGGCAAAAACACTATGTTCTTCCACAATATACAGATTAGACCGCAGATTCATTATAATGAGAGCACTTATTAGTTGATGACTGATACGTTTCCTTACGTCATCCCTCTTAGAAGGCATTACAATTAAAAAAAAAATGTAGGGCATTGGCTTCTGAAAAACATGAAGGCACCAACGTTTTCATTTGTATAATATACGCCTGCCGAAAGTTTTGTAAATCTAAGGCAATGTATGTGAGCTTGACTTTACGTTTTTACACTAAGCTGGTTGAAGATGGATTCCATTCATTTTAATGTATATGTATATTCTAAGATTAGTGCTTAATTTAATAAACAAGAACAGGAGTAATGCATTGCATCAAACCCTATTAGGCACCAGAGGAAGTGAATGAGTCAGAGGCAAGCGCTGCCATCACTGGGTTATCCTGGACATTAAGTATCTAATGTTCTCATTTGGACAAGTACCGTAAGCTAATCAAATGCATTAAACTGAGTGAGTCCTCTGACAGACTGCAGTGTACGGCACAAAAGGAAAAAAAATCAGCTAAATGGGCAAGATACCGAAAATGACATCAACCAGTTCTTTCAAATTATCATTTTTTTCCAAGTTGATTTAATTTTGTTAGATTTTTTTTTAGGAGTATAATGTCAAGAGAAAATACTAATAATGCCCATAGTCTAGAAAAAATTTTAATAATTAAAGATCCTTTTCCCAACATCAGCCTTCTATATATTATATTACCTGGGCTATGAGAATCTTTATTCTTAGCCTAGAATATATTTATTAATATGTGAACCATATCTGTTTTTCTATTTTACTCCCTGGATGAAATTTCTGAAAATTAAGTATATGTATGTATGTACAGTGTCATTTTTTATATTTGCCCTACAGTGATAAAAATGTTATCCATAGGTGACAATACTTGCAAATACAATACATAAATATATAAATATAAAAATACAAATTTAGGTAGCTGATGCAGTATAAGACTGAGATTATTTAATGCATTATATAACATTTGAGATCACCTAGACTTATTAGAAAGAGAAACTGACTTGCACACATTTAAGGGATTAAAAGCCAACGTAGTATTTCACTTGAGAGAACAATTCTTATCTTGTTTTGTGAAGACGAATTTTTAAAGATAAAAAGTAAACAAAGATGTTTCATTTTAGCTCATGAATTTCATCTCCATTCCAAATGTGTCAATCATCGTGGAATAAAGGCTTATCATGACTATTTTTTGAGCGTATCTTTTTACTTTTTTAAATACAATAATTTCTGGCTGATTTTGTGGGTTATTTTATGATCAGCAAGGTTTCAAAATTTTTCTTCTGTGGCTACTGGAAAAATCTGGCATACATTTACATGAAATAGGCAAACTCAATTAGAACATTCTATCATTCTGATACAGCAGGCTTACATTCTAACACTGCTGAAATAAATATCTAGGCCCAAGATGGAGCTGCTCCTGCCTGGGCCACCAAGTCAGCAAACTGAAACTTAGATGACTTTCAGGCCCCTGTAAATGCTCTGCTTGGCCAGAGACACAGTGCATCCAGTCTGCCAATCCCCAAAGCCCAAGCCAACTCTGGGCTCTATTTTCTTGTTCCTTCTCATCCCAAACAAGGCTGCCTATGTGTCCCCAGCCAATCAGATATTTTCTGTTTTTCTCTTCCTCATTCTTTATTCTTCATCCTATAAAAGCTTCCTGCCTTCTACCCCACGTTGCAGTTCCCCGAATGGAGACTGACTGCTTCATGCAGTGTTAAAGTTAGTTCGTGTCACCCAAACTGTCTTATTTAAATCATTTTTTAACAGCATTAAACAGTATACGGCTAAAAAAAAATTTTATTCTTGCAAATCAAGACTGTTAATGAGTAAATTGATCATAATATAATATCAGTTTACATGATACAAAATAAATCTACTAGATCATGTTTTTCGCCTAACTAAAAATAATATGACAAAAAAAGGGTTCAAAAATATATTTCATGCTTCTGCAATCAGGGTTTCAGTTATCTTGTTGATTTGAAAAATCACGATTTCTTCAAAGTTACTTATCAGGGTTTTAAATTTTTTTTTAGTTAAAAAAATTTTTTTAATTTTTAAATTCTTTTTTGGGGGGTGGGGGTGGTACTTAGGTTTATAATGGAGGTACTGGGGATTGAACCCAGGACCTTCTGCAGGCTAAGCCCACGCTCTACCACTGAGCTATATCCTCCCCACTGAGTTTCTCTTAAACTCCAAAATATTGTTTTGTCATTGGGCCAAAAAGATAACCACTATTAATACTTTAGCAGCCATGACTAACAGCGGTGGAATCAGCCCATGCCACAGAGAAATGCTGGACTGGAGGAGGGAAGACACTTGGTTCTGATCTCCCTAGCTCTGGAGTCTTAGGCAATTAATTTAATGTTTCTTAGTTTCCATTCCCTTATTTGTAAAGCAGTAGTCAGAGAAAGCGATCATATCTAACGTTCTCCAAGAGTTTCCCTGAACTGCAATTAAAATTAATGAGGGGGACAAAAAAGCCTTAAGATTTTATGTCCAAACAGAAACAGGACACCAAGCAACTCAAGAGATAAAAAAGAAAAATACAACACACGTACCCATAAATATACTTCGGTATAGATACGAAGTTTCTGCTAGTCCGTGTGAGTCACTGGACTTCGAGGAATTTCTCCTGGCTACTCCATGCTGCACCCTACTTTAAAGAGATTAATGAAATAAAGCAGCAACTTTTGACATCGTTGTTTTTAGGAACACTTTATATTTTGTTTTTATTCTCCTCAAGAGTAGGCATATTGGGATTTTGATTCTGAAAAGGGTACAGGATGCCACAGCAGCCCATTACTCTTGTTCTAACAACTAGGCGGAAAAAAAAAATCTCATGAATTGTAAAAGTTCTTTTTATGAGAGAATTGCGGGAGCAATGAGAATTTTATATCATCCAAAATTCCACAGAGGAAAAAGTATTTCCTAGGCAAGCCGGCAATTACTGGCTCTTTTCTTCCCTAGAGGCCTCTGACAACGCTTACTGTGGGCTAAGGATGAGATCGGACCAAGTGAAGGAGCGCTATTTGAGGAAATAGACACTAGCTGAGTAAGGTAGAGTATAATCAGTCAGCGATGCCTATTAAAACCTACTGCAACTAATGAAAAAATTAGTGAAGGAGAAAAAAGACAGAATAAAAAACAAAGAATAAAAGAATCCAAAAGGAAAAGAAGAATAAAGGAACAAAGACTATGCGGGACAAATAGAAAACAAACAGCAAAAAAGACAATACTGAACTCAAATATATCAGTAATTATATTAAATATAATTGGACTAAGCACTCACTCACTCTTTAAACAAAGTTGCTGATAAAAGAGTCCTCACTGTTAAGAAACTTACTGTCTGGAGGGGAAGCCAATCCAGGAGAGAACCAAACACAATCTCATGAGATAAATTCCACTGTGCATCACATGCACGGGCACAAGGTGCTATGGAAGGAGAGAGGGGAGGCACTGTCTTCTTTAAGGACTGAGTGCCATGCGTTGGCAGGAGCGGTGGAGTGGCAGGAGTCGAGGCAGGCAGACATAACATCCTGACTTGATTTATGTCACACTGAGGAGTCTGGATAGACTGTATAATGGGGAAGCACTGACAGCTTTTAAATGATGATTTGCATTTTAGAAAGTTGGAAATGAGGAATAGTTTCAGGCACTTATAAGGTTAATCACTTCAACAATTTAGAACTATCTAAAAAGAATTATAATCCTATTTATTAACAAAATGAAAACCTATTATCTATGGAAGTTTAAAAACTTAAAATTAAAGGCTTGAGATGAAAAGCTTGCTTGCGGTTTGTCCTGAATAAGTAACAGAGATGAAGCAGAATAGGAGGCCAGCCAAACAGGTCAGGTTTCCATACCTATAGCAAGACGCTCCATAGGGACACTCGGGTCGGCCATCAGCCTCATCTTGACACGTGACGTGCACACCCCCATAGTCACCATCGCCCGGGTGACTGAAGTGCTGAAAATGGACAGGATTCTTCCTACAACAGGGACAAATATGCTGTCAGAATAAATAATTAATAGGACAGACTAGATTTCTAGATATACTAGGAAAGATAATTAATAGGCCATAGAAGGAAACCAAACAATAACACATCTGATTATTCCAGAATGTGAACCAACATGCCACATTGTTAAAAACAAAGCTCATGACATCCAGTCAGTACAGAACTCTCATGCGAGCAAATTTCTGGTAGGCCATGAATGTCAATGAACAATTTGAAAGCAGTATTTTATATAGGCTATATATACAATAGGATATATGGGATATATAAAATAAATATAAACATATATAATACAAATATTATAAGCATACATAGTTTCAAAGTGAACACACCTACACACCCTCAGTTAACATAAAAAACAGAACGTTATCAACATTCTAAAAGCCCTGTATGTCCCCTTCCAATCATTAAACCCATTTTGCTACCAAAAGGTAACCCTATCCTGTCATCTGAAACAGTATTTCTCAAACTTTTTGGTCTTTGGGAAAACATTATTAAAACTCCAGAAAACTTTTATTTATGTGCATTATTTACCCTATTAGAAACGAAAAGGGAGAAACTTTGAAAATATTTATTTTAAAATAACAATAAACCCTTCACATATTATCACAAATAGCACATCTTAAAGTAAATACCTATGTTGAAAAAAATTCATGGAGACATTGTCTTATACTTTGGAAATTTCTTTAATGTCTGGCTTTATAGAGGACATCTGGATTCTCATGCCTGCTTCTGCATTTAATCGTTAACACAGACCATGCAGCCGCTGAGAAATTCTACTGTAACTTGTGAGTGAGAGAATCAGTATGAAAAAGACACACATATAGTAAATATTGTTATGAAAATGGTTTTGGCCCAACAGATTTCCTAAAAGCATCTTGGGACCAGGACTGCAGGAGTCTCTGAACCATACTTTGAGAAGCAATGTTAAAAAACAACAATATCAGTTTTGTCTGTTCCTGAATTAAAATGGAAATATATAGTATGTACTTCTTTTTATGCTGGTATGATTATTCCATATTGTTGCACGTGACAATTTTACTACTGCATAACACTCCATTGTATGAAACTGCTATAATTTATTTGTCCATTTGACTATTAATAGACTTTTGGATTCATTCTAGGTATTGGCTTTTATAAATAATACTGCCATGAACATTCCACTTTTGGTGTACTGTTGAAAAATTAAATTCACCAAAGTTGTAGGATACAAAGATCAACACTCAGACAGCATGGTACTGGTACCAAAACAGACATATAGACCAATGGAACAGAATAGAGAGCCCAGAAATGAACCCACAAACTCTTGGTCAACTCATCTTCGACAAAGGAGGCAAGAAGATACAATGGAATAAAGACAGTCTCTTCAGCAAAACTGG